GCCGGCCTCTGCCCTGCCTCCCTGCTGCCGGCCTCGGCCGGGGAATTGCCGCTTAGCTGGGGGGAAAAAAGCCGAAAATGACATTTCAAAAAAATCTTCGGGTTTTTGTAAACATGTTAGGAGTATCGTGATTACCAAAGAAGTGGAAGGGCTGATTCCCCTTTTCCTTGCACTTTGGGTTTAGATATGATTGATGTTACCACAGAACTTAAAAAGATTACAGTGTGTCAGCTGTGTTAACTGCCTGTATGTGCGCTTCCAGCCTGCCATAGCTTCGAGAAGGAGCAAATGATGTCTTAAGCTTCACAAAGGTGTTCAAAACCTGCTTGTTCTACTCCTGTCTCATTTTGGTTTTACCTGAGATTTGTTTTCCAAAAAATGCTTGTCCTTATTTTTGTCAAAGCAAACAGATGTGCTGCCAAGCTGTGGATAAGCCAGGAGAGCACAGACAGTCGTGCGTGACTGGTACGATGCAGTAATTGAAGCCTTGGTGGAAAAGGGTTGTGCCAACGCAGTGGAGGGCAGGCTGGTGTGAAAGCTAAAGGCACTGTCTAGAGTATTATCACAGTTCAGCTGGGGTACAATAACTTGCTATGTCACAGTAATGCAAAATATGCTTTTGACCAGACAGGAATAATTTTCTTTCAAGCAGCAAAGAATGCCCTTATAACCTGGGAGCAAGGAGGAAAGAGGATGTGTAAATAAAGACTGTGTTTGGAGCTGTCTGGCTTTGTGGTGTTTGGTATTCCTAGCCAGTAATCACCCCTGTTCCTCAATAGTAAGTACTGTAGGTGGGCTTTCCCAGAAGACATTTTTGTAATAAAACCTCTTGCCCCTTAATTTCATAGGTGCTCTGTGAGGGTGAAGCTGAGCTGAAAGGCCACCACAGCTGTCTTCACCAGGGTAATACTTCAGCTTTCTGGCATTAAGGACCTAGGAAATAATCCCACAGGTATGTTGTAAATATATATAGCCACTCGTATTTTATAGGCAGAATGTTATTCTACAGTTGTAAATTGGCATTGCTATGACACTAACAGACAATAATTTTACTTCTTGTTTATGCCATAATTTCTTGAGATTCCATTTTTTTAATGTAGCTCTTCGCAATGCAGGAACTACGAACCCAGAGTATGATTATGTATTTCAAAGACAGTAACAGCAGGGGGAGCATGATTTACCATTTAGTATAAGAAGTTTTTCATTCTAGGTTTAAGTCAGGAATCCAGTCTGTTTATAATTTCCATGCTGTGCATATTGGCGAACATCCAAAGAAGCTAGCTGTAAACATAGATATTTTTCCTATGACTAGTTCTGATTTTTGTGTATGGTTTTCTGTATGTCTGAGAAATGAGAATATGGAGTATGGTAGGGGGCATGTTCTGGGGTGATCTTAGAACAGAGTCAACCCCATGCCTCTGAAATAATGTCTGATTTTAATTAAATTGCTGATATTAATTGAAAGAAACAGTTCACTGATGGTAGACCATTTTTATATAGAAAACCCCTTCTTTCTGAACAGGAAGTTCTTTTTAATGCTGTATGAGCATATGGAAGGTTATGTTAAGTATCATAATATACTGAAATTATGGGCTTTGCACAGTGAAATGCAGTCTAAATTTTAGCGCTGAAAAATAAGCTCTAATGGAAAAGGAGCATGCAATCTTGCTGTCTTCACTACCAGTGTGGGATTTGACTCTAGTCTGCTTTATCTGGGATGAGCTTGCAGACGCTGTGGAGTGAGATGCAAGCAGACTAATGCTGTGCATTAGACTAGCATGAATTTTCTTGCCTGCTGGAGTGTGGAAGCAAGATTCTTTGCTATGGTTTTTAAAAAAAAAACTGTTGGGAGCTAATCAAAATTCTTATAGTTTCTAGGGTTATTGTAACGAAGGGTAACACAAGCCATTCTATAGTAGAAGAAATGTATGCAGTTTTGCATGAATGTACTGTATCCTTGTTAATGTGTGCAAATGAACAGCTTTTCCTCTTTTTCTTTTGGCTTGCCTTGAAAAATACAATGCAATCATGTTGTATTATTTGCTAGGCAATTATAATTGTTTTCAGATGCACGTTAAGCCCTTTGGCAAGAAAGGTAGTGGTGTTGGCATAAGCTGTTTTGAGCAGTAAATCCAACATGTACTGGAGGAAGGAGCTGGGAAGCAGTTATCTGATGATGAAGGGAGCAGAGAACTCACTTGCGAGGAGGCACCTAATGTTGAAAGGGAGCAATGCCTTTCACATCTCCCTGGGTATGACTGAGAACTAGCTATTTGTAGCGAGGTAACTAACTGCATGCTGCACTGGCAGTGTCGTGAATCCTGACATAATGTTCAAGATATGACAGTGCGGTCTGGGTGGGGCGCTGACAGGCGTTTAAATCCAAAGTTCTTTGGGTCAGAGGAGTGGCTGAATGCTGGAGCGTCTGAGTTCATGTGGATAATGAATTTTGGCCCTGAATTACTTGTTTCAAAGTCTTCAGCCAATGGTGAAGGTTTGCTTTCTTAGGATGAAGTTAATGTTTCCTTACTATTTAATAATTTTAAAATAGTTTTATAGCTGCTATAATGTGCCAGGCATCTCCTGGCTAATGTGTCAGGCCTAATCTGCAAGACTTGAAATACTGCTACAAGCTGGATGTTTTTTATGGCTGCTTTTCTTATAGAGGTATTGAGAGAAACTCTTCCTTGGCAACATCTTGAAAATCTGTTTACAATTCAGCCCATCTTTTGGCTCTAAATAAGTATGTAAGCAATCTTGCAGTTTTTTGTTTGTACTATTTTCCACTTAAATATAATTAGCATTATCTACAGCCATCAATACTGATAACAAGTTGTTGCCTGCTTTTGAAGCTCAATTGTTTGTGGAGGGGAAAGGAGATGAAGCCAGCTGCGCAGTCAGTTCAGTACTTCTTGCTGTGTCTGCAAGCAATAAGACAGTGGGTGGAAGGCACTGGCCTTTGGAGAGATCCTAAACAAACCTGTCTCATCCAAGAGTCCAACCTCAAATTGCTGTTTGAGGAGGGACCATTCTTCAGAGCCTGGCATGTGGGCCTCAACTGTATATGCACCAAGAACCCATCTGTGGCCTGAGGTGACTTTGGAGTAGTGATTTGCTTGTTAGATTTCACCATGATACTTTAAATTTAGATACAATGTGGAAGCAGCTATTTTAGCAGTCATTTTGCCAGGTGTCTTTAGTAGCATAGGCAGGCACAGAAGAGGAGACAGGCTGTAACCCTATTTGTATCATCAGCTTGTAAGTTGTTGCATTGTGATGATTCAGAAAAATGGTATATTAGTCAGATTTTGACAGTATCTAGTCATGATACTTTGTCTCACAAACTTTATCCCCCTGTAGCGAAGTGTGGGTATAGGTCTGTAGGAATGGAATCAAACCAGGGAATAATAGTCTGTCCTAATTGTGTGGAAGAAACCATTGCTGTGTGCTCTGGGGGGAAAAAACCAAACCCGGAAGAAATCAAAAACTAGATCTGTTAGGAGTAATTAAAATTTGTCATGAAGGAAACATATTGTGGAGAATGGCTGATGATCAAAGATATTGACAGAGCAGTGACTTCTGCATTGATCTGTGCTCAATACAACAACATTCTGAAGCAGCGAGTTGGCAGCCTGCTGACCAGTGATGGTACGCAGGTTTTTGACTGTAATTTCATATGGATCAATGAAGTATTGCGCACTTAGTGCTTTCTCTTCACTTTTAAGCTATCTGTTATACCTGTTTTAGCTGTTATCCAACTGCATCGCTATCTTGAATGTGAACTACCTTGGAGTGGCTAGGAGGTAATGTCATCTGAGTTTTGTGGACTGGAGACTGAAATATAGACTTAGAAAGAAATGCATTCACAGGGGCTGAAATTAACCCTGTGAAACTTCCTCCCCCCCAGTCTTTGGAAAGAGAGGTGACCTTGCTGGTGGCAGTTTGGAGCAGCTAAATCCCACCCCAGTTCCATACCTCCCCTGGAGAAGCCTGATAGCACTATTATGTCTACGTGGTGGAGTGGAAGAATACTGTGGGTTTTTTCTGGAGTTCATGTGATCAAAATGAGAGTTCACAATACAGCAAGAGTCACACTCCGGCCTGATTTGCCATAATAAGCAACGATAAGGGGTGTGACTTTTATTCTTTAAATTACATGGACTGGTCTTCTGTCGGTTCCACTTCGTTTAATTCTTCTCCATAAGACTGTACAAATTTGGAGCCTGGATGAAGGACCTGCTTTTGTTAGTCCCTGTTTTTAGTTAGGCTGTCAGGCAACTGAAGGGTTTCTTCTGACTTGTTTTCTTCTGAGCATACCTTATCTGGGAATGAAAACTGGTATCAGGAGTGAATGATCAGCCATGAGATAGTGCAACTCACATCTCCAGTTGCCTATCATGTGTGCCACTACTTTTACACTTTTAAAAAAAGCTGCAGAACACAAATCAAGTCCCCTTATACACCATTGTGCCAACTGAATGGGACTTGCTGAGGCTCTTTTGTGGGGTGAAGGGGGAGAGAGGGGTTCATGTTTTTTTAGTCCCTCTAGCTTCAGCATATGTGGGTACATGTGCTGCTAAAGGAAGGCTCTGTGAGGATCATGCTCTTGTCCTGTGACATACAAAGGAGACTGTAGCCTATCAGTTTGATCAGAAGTGGGAGCCCTAAAGGGACTGGATGAGTAATAGGTATTTGTTTCCTCTTCTGACCTCCCTTTGGTTTGTGTGGGAGCTGGCTTGAATCCCCCATGACTGGATATGAAATTCAGAGTGGGTGAGAAACTGATAGCCTGGTAGATGTGCAAGTAACTTTTCTTTTATAGGTCAGGTCCATGTTTTTATATCTTCTTGATTAAGAATTTTTAGAAAGCTTATTTAATAAAGAATTCAGTTTAACTTGTGAACAAAAATTCCGTCCTGGTCTATTTTGTCTAGAAGAACCTTTTTTTCGTTCTGCCAGTGCTCTCTGAAGTCTGACAGCACTCTCTGAGGTCCTAAAGAAGTGTTTGTACAATATCCATTTGGTTGGCTTTTTAGCTTTGCTGGCTGGGCACATTTAAGGGAAGGAAAGGAGCAAAGCATTAAGTATCTGTTACTATATGCGGAGAAGTTTAGTTCTACCAATGTTGCTGGAACAGCTTCTCACTACCGTGAGAACTGTCTCTCAGGTAAGGCAGTGGTGTAAGTGCTCATCTTCGAGGAACACATGACCTTAGGCTGATGGCACTTGATGCAGCCTGACGAGCCAGGGCAGTACGCTTGTTGTCCTGGGCCGTCTTGGAGCCCTAGCTCAGGGCAGTGTGAACTGCCCGCTTTTGGTTCCTGCACGGGGAGGTTCTTGTAGGCCACAAGCCTTCTCAATCTGTTGCAGAGAAATGTCACCATTCTCACTTAAATAAAAAGAAATCTTAAATTCACCTGTCCAGCATGTCTTTGTCATTTGAAGATGCTGTTGCAAAAAAGCCAGGAACATAGACAGTATCATAGGCAGTATTTGTCCTACACAGACTTCTTATCTGATGTTTCTGTGCAACTAAGTTCTTCCATTCTCTGTTTGAATAAAACTCATTATAAACATTTGCCTCAATTTAGTTATTGAGCTAGGAGGTGTTAATGTCCCTTCTGCCTCTCTTACCCTCTTTGTTAGTAGATGGGTTAGCTATGGTGGGGTGGGCATGCATACGTGTGTCTATGCACACATGCTTGTGCTGTCCAAGAATGTGGTTATAACATTATGTTCAGCCTCCTGTAACTCATTATTTGTGCTGGTTTTCTGAGTAACAGCTGTGAAAAGAATGTGTACAAACAATTTTAAAACCCTGCAGCCAGGTGTCTTGCTTGTTCAAGCAAAAGCTGATTTCTCTGTTTATTGAGGTTTCTGTTTATTGACTCAAGTAAATCTGAGTAGGATGGCAAAGCTGTTAAAGATCTGCTATAAAGACAAGCTGCTAGCTGTAGTAAGTGTTCTTCTTGGCAGATATCCTTAGCCATGAGAGAACATGGTGGGGAGGTGCAAGAGTTGTGTTGTTTTAACTGGAAAATTCCCTTGTAATTGTTTTGCCGGGCTTTGTGTAGTGCATCCAAAAAACCACTCCATGAAACGATGACAGACTATGCAGATGGACAATTATGGCTTAATATATCCAAATTAATGTACTTCCCAAGTGCTCTTGCCTTGCTGTGCTTTCTGCTACATCACTTATTGTGGCTTTTAGTATTGGCAGACCTCTGCATGGTACTATTCATTCAGCTTTACTCAATTCTCAGATTACCCATGTACTAGTTTGGAACTCACTTAAACAAGCAGTTTGGGAATATGCGGTTTGCAGGGGGGTGAGAAACAGAAGAGGGAAAGGAGACGACTTATGATGCTGTGAGACGTTTTCCTGCTTACTCATGCTTGCAAACCATTGTGGCAAATGTTTCTGATTCCTCATGTAGTCTTTTAAAGCAATCAAAAGGATAATTTGAAAACAATCATCTTGCCATGTGATAATATGTTGCAGAGAACAGAGCTACTTCTAATGTTCTTAGCGGTGGTAGTATCGCTGATGGTGTGTTTGGTGTTTGTCTATGGCACTGGTGAGATCAACTGAGGGTGAGGGCTTCTATCATGCTGTGGGCTTGAAAAACCCAGAAGGAAAGGGCGATACTCACCTGCCATCTCCTGTCTCCTGTTGTGCAGGCAGGCATGTGGAGCCCAAGGGAACTATGGGCTAGAGTTGTCCCAGAATTACCTTATTTTAATACCTTCCCATTTGCTGCATTGCTTGAAATTTTAGGATGTTCCATGTATTTTCCCTTCCCTTCTCCCTCCATCCCTCTTTCTCATCAGATTTAAGTGATTCCATTTTGCCCCAAATAGCTGCATGTTGTTTAATGTATTTGGAGTAAGAGCAGGTTGCAAGTGGTCGTTTCCAGCCACCAGTTTACGCATTACAATGGGTAGGAAAAAAGAATAATTGCTTCTTGGGTTAAGGTGAACAGCTGTCATCTTCCTTTCGATACTGTGTGCATGGGTGTTATGAGAGCTCGGTGTTTGCTGAGCAGCAGTGCTCATACGTGAGGGGTGGCTGTGGTGAACAGGCAGCTCCGAAGTGAGCTGTAGGCTGATCCGAGTGCAGTGCAGGCTCCTCATAAATTCCCTGGAAGAGGCAGTCCTGGCCATCAGATCTACCAGGAGAATTACAGGTCCCAGGAGGCTCTTCTGTACAGACCTTGCATCTGTTACTTCACTTGTCTACTACCTCGTCTGCCTGTCTGCTCAGACTGGCTTTCCCTTCCATGCCCTCGGTGGGCTGTGCTCTTAAAAATGTAACAGTCTGCTTTCAGCCTCCATCTCGAGGAGCTGGGTTTCTAAGCTGGCACAGCCTTTGAAATACAGAATTCATGAGGGCTGTGCCCAGAGGCCAATATGCTGGGATGATGCATCCTGAATAAGCAAAGCTGGAAATTTCACTTTCAACTTTTCCAAGCATTGCTGCCACTTGCATGCTACAAAAAGCTATATTTCTCTATTTGGCTTTCTCACTGTTTGTATTTCTAGACAGTTTTTATATAACTGAGTTTCATAGCATGCTACAAGTCTGACCATTTAATTTAGACTTTTATTATTATTGGAGTATAATACAACTTCGTATACTCTCCTATTTTCCAGCTATAATTATGCATGAAGTAGAAGGCATTGAGCTCCCCGTGCAGAAGATCTTGTTCTCACTGTCTCTGTGGACAAATTTATTGCTTACATTACTTCTGTCATGTGGGCCTTCCATGGACTGCAGCATCCTCTGTGTAAATCCCAAAGAGTATACCAGATAGTATTTGATACTGTTAAGTAAGCTTCTGTGGTTGAAGAAGACTTTTTTAAGCTTTACTGATTAGAATTCAGTATTTCAAGGATCTAAATCATTTTCATGAGGGTGAATGACTGAAGATGAATGCCTTGGGTTTTTTTTTCTCACAAATAAGTTAATCATTTTTACTCCTCCTTTTCCTTTTAGTTTGTTACAGGTTTGAGCTATCTGGAAGATGAAGCCCTGGCTGCAGTTGGTATTCTTTATCTGTATTTTCTTGATCTGGCACACAGAAGCAGAGTTCTTCACCTCCATAGGTATGGAAAGAACCAATGCATGATGTTGTGAAGTGGTTAATGTGATTGCCAAAACTGTTAAAGTTTACAGTTGAAGCACATGGCTTTCTTCAGATGGCCCTATCGAACACTGTCTGCATTGGGCAAAGCTACTCTTCTGCATCCTTGATGCTATTCTGCATTGCAAGTCTTGCATTGGTGCAATTTGTTTGCAGTTGGGTAACTTAGCACATTGTGTCCAACATGATATAAGTTTCTCTGGGGGGCTCTGTCAGTAAAATAAGACAGTACCTGTGTTTTACTAAGAATTGTGCACCTGTTGTAGTCTTGAACACAGCACAGACCTTATGCTAAAAAGCTTAGTCCTGAATTCATGATTTATGAAGAGAATTTAAGTGATAAATATGTGAAATATTTTCTTTCACAGAGCTTGAAATCTCATGTCTTCTCAAAAAAATGGAGTTAGGTATCAGAAGGAGAAATTAATATCCCCCTTACATTATGCGTGTTTTATAAAACCTGAGTAAATCCTTAAGAATTCACATTGTTATAAATCCTGAAAATAAATTGATTTTTATGACAATTTAGTTCTTGTGATATAACCGTGTATGGTTGTGGTAGAGCCTGAAAATAAGCACAAACTGAGTTTTCTGCTGTGACTTGGTCTAATGTTTTCCTGTGGAATAGTGTGGGGAATTTACCCCCATAAGGGTAATAGAGATTGATTAACTACAGCTGGCTGTTCTCCAGAATATGCTTTGAGCTCAGTGGAGCTATGTTTCTGAACGGTAAAACTCAACACTCCCGGTGGTTTATTTTGCACCACTGTGTGGAACTGCTCAGCCAGAGCAAGGCAGAGTGGTGTTTCACTGCCAACCCCCAGCACATGCTCCTGTGATCTGGAGTTGGCTAAACAGTATTTAGCTACATGTGTATTATTTGGTTCTCTTTTTTCCTAAGTTAAGTAGCTTTTTGTACAAAGTTACTGTGAAAGATCACCTTTTCTTTACACTTGCCTATTCCTGAACCTTTCCTAACTCTCATAATAGCAGAGCCTGCTGACTTCCATCTGCTTAATCACGCCTCATTAATAATTACTTTGGAATGCTGAAACTAAAACTGTGGCTGCATTTATAAATCTCATCCGGTCTTTCAGTGTTTGGTCTTTGAAAAGCAAGGCTTGTCATAGCAATTAGGATTGACATACTAGCAATTTCCACTAACACTAATCAGGAGAGAGTGTGTGTGTGTCAGTCTATAAATATTAGTCTGAAATTCCTCTGTACTTAATATTAGGTTGTGTTTCCACAGTAACCCATATTGAAAAGTTGTATTTTTAAGTGATGCCAATGGTTAGACTAATAATTTATTAGTGTGACCTAATCTGTATCCATATGTAGAACAGATGCTTTGGCAAATATTTGGATCTTTCGTTGCTTTGACTCAATAGCTGTATTAATGTCAAACCTTTCTGATTGTCTTGCATACAATTGTAATACTAAAAGTAATTCAGAGGCAGTGGAAGGGTCACAGCGAAGCTACATGGGCCATTGAAGTTGGGATTTTAAAAGCCACTTGAAGCATTTGAATGCCAGACCTGTATGTATAGCAGCTTTTGTGGTTTATAGGCATTGAAGCGCACACCCTTAATTTGTCTATTCTTTGTGGTGGTTTTACTAGCCCTAAAGCATCTAAGGTCTGTTTTCTGTGCTGTTGGAAATTGTTACTTTTTGAGGTCTGATTAACGTTTGCTCATACTCCGTTTTTAGGTCAAATGACAGACCTGATTTATGCAGAGAAAGACCTGGTGCAGTCTTTAAAGGAATATATCCGAGCAGAAGAGAACAAGCTCTCTCAGATTAAAAGGTAGGGGGAGAGGTTTGCATAATGAAGGGTGACAAAATGGCTCATCTTCAATTACACCACACCTTTCTGTCACCACTCTTTGCTGCTAGATCTTGTTAGTATTTCCTCAGTAGATAGTCACAGTGAGACCACAGGTACTAACTTGGTTGTAATTTATTCCCATAAACCTGCAGAGAGGGGGCCTTGCTTCAGATATTGTTTAGACTTTGTCTGCTTGTTTAGAAACTGTTGTCTGCTGGGCTCTTCCCACTTTTCCCTGTCCTTGTACCATCACAGTGCTCCTATGGAAAGACACTCATGTTAGAGGAGCCTCGTCCATGTGAGTTAAATGCCTCTGGGTGTCAGTGCTCTGTGCTACCTGTTGTTTCACAGCATCAGCACTGCTTACAACAGCAAAGTGTGCCAATTGCATTGTTTAGTGGAGCACACACCAAATCCCCAGCTTCCTTCCCGTGTTGGCTTTGCTCTCAGGGACAGGTCTCCTGCCTCGTTCTCTTCAGTTGCTGACCTGGCTACAGCATATCTCGGACATTATCCTGTTTGCTTAGATCACTTGAAAGGCTCTTGCTGACAACCGATATTTTCTGTGTCCCTTAGACTGTTAATACTTATCTAGCTGAAAGTAATATCTAATAGGGCGTGACACTAGAATAGTCTAAATGAGGTCCAGGTTCAGAATAGCTGAGAGCCATACTTTCCAAAGAATTTGTAAACTCCAGGCTATGTGTGGCAGTTTGATCTCCCTTTGGGGGTGTAGGGTGGGGATGGGGCTATGGAGTAAGTGAAATGATATGAATCCCTTGTCACTTGTATACACATGTTCATTTCTTAAAAGCTGCCCTATTAAGGAAAAGCAATCTCCTCTTCAAGTATTGTTAAAGAGAATGTCAGTTCCATCTATGTATAAACTTTTTTCTTTTTTCCATATGGACTGACATATGCAAGTGCTTTTTAATGTGTTAAATTTTCAGTTGACTTGTATTTTGGTGTGTTTGTAAGCAAGAGTATTCTACCACTGTGTCAATATTTGAGCCCTTGCACACTGCTAGTGTATGAGGCATGTTCTTTGTAACAGAGGTGCTAAATTTTATCATTTGAATATGGTAATACTTCTCAGTATTTTGTCTATTAGTTCCAGAGATATGTTTATGATTCAAAAGCATTGTGATGTGAATAAAGAGACTAGAACTTGACAGTATTTACTATTTTGCAAAATAAATATTAGGAGTAGTGAAAGTCTAAATTAAAAAGAGTGCAGGTGAGACTGGTCTTAATTGATGTTGTTAATCTGATATCCCTGCAAAGGATCTCTGGAAAAACCATTTTACTTTTGTTCTGTTGCAACATCATAGTATAGAGGAGAAGCCAGGTAGCCTGACAATATTTACCTGTGTTTATGTAAAATTGTTTGTAACCATAGTTCATTCATGGCTAACTGACTTTGAGATTATAGGCTCAAAGAGGATTTCTTATGTTCAGTTATGAGCTTATCTCGGCAGAGTGTTTTCTTCCTATTGAGTACTGACAGAGGAACACACATGTTTGTGGCCAGATGTTTGTGTCAAGGGATAATATGAAGGGCAACAGAAGAAATTCTCACTTTAGCATCAGCAGTGTAGTTGGCGGTTCAAATGTACTGTAACACAGAGGGTGAAGTTTCCCACTACTGCTTTGAAGCTGACCAAGAGAGCCATCTAGGTGACTGACAGCACTGCCATTGTACTGTCTGAGGGTTTCCAGTCTGAAAATCAAAGCTTATGGTTTAGTTTCCATAAAGCTAAAAAGCTCTTGGGGTTTTATTTTTGCTTGTATCTTTACTAAGATAGACAAGTGACACTCACAGTGATTGTGTGCTATATCTCGTTATTTTCTGAAGTGCAGTATGCTGAAAATTGATGGCTAAGACTCATTGCAAGCGAGATGTGGGCCCACTGTAGTAAGGTTTAAAATAGTAAGCAGGGAAATAAATTCTTTTAAAAGAAAGACTATTTTAATTAAAAAAATCAGTTGTACTTCACTTTATCCTTGTGAAGTTGAAAGCTTGAAAGCCAGTTATGATGGCAAAAGCAGCAATAAATTGATTCTAGCTGTGTGTAATTAGGATGACTTAAAAAGGAAGACATGCGTTCATAAATTGTTCTCAGACTGAGGCGTACACTTCTTGTTCCAGCTGGGCTGAAAAAATGGATGTACTGACTAGCAAATCAACCTCTGATCCAGAAGGGTATTTGGCACATCCTGTAAATGCATATAAACTGGTGAAGCGTTTAAATACTGACTGGCTGGAATTGGAAAACCTGGTTCTTCAGGACACAACAAATGGTAAGGAGTTACAGGGGAGAAGATATCAGTAGGAGGTAGCCTTAGAACACCGTTGCTTATCCTCCTTCTATTCTGGAAAGCTGCAAACTTGGCTGTGGTTTAAATATTATTGCCAAGTTTGAAACTTAAACAAATGACTGGCTGCTTGTTTACTGGTTACCCAAGTGTGTGAAACTTGCCACTGAAACACACCTGTCAAGACTCAAAGAAACTGTTACCTGCCTTAGACCTGTTACATTTTGTGTGGCTTGTGCTGCCTAGTCTTGAGATTTATTTCCTTTTATATAAAAACTTACTCATCTGCTTTCCCAGTCTGCTGCTTCTCTTGGCGATCATTGTTTTTTGACTATGTTGATCAGTAGATAAGATTTAAGAATCAAAATGAGACCTATACTGAATTGGTGAAGGAATTAATATCAGCCCCAGCATTAAGAGTTGGCAGATGTTGTGGTCAGTCTGATGATAACAGGATAATATACAATTACTATCTGTAAACCTATCCTTCTGTATCAAATCTTTCCAGTACTAATCTTTGCTTTTGCATCACATTGTCAAAGTGTCTGCCTGAATTTGCTTCCATAGCTTGCTTTTTTTTTAAATGCAGGTTTATTTTTACTGGACTCCTTAACAGTAAGGGAGAAGAGGCTATGTTTTTCAGGCAGAACATTGCATGTTTTCCCTTTCTACTCAGCATATGCTAAAGTTTAGGTACTTGGAAGCTTTTTCCAGCCAAGATTTTTATTGCCTTTTGGAATAGTCATCCTAGATGGAAATAAAATACTCGATTCTATTGAGTACTTCTGTCATTCCCTTTCAGTTCTGCTTGCTGCATTACTAGAAATGGCTGGGTTTTCCTTCAGTTGATTGCCCCCACTTCTGCCCAACGAACCTGCTGTACAGACTTGATATGGAATTAAATGCACTACTTAAATATTTCTAAATGTCACCTGTTTTTACTTGTCAGGTTTAAAAGCCTCTTACTGAGTAAGGACCTACCCCTGCTTAGGGGATCCTGGATCAGGGTTTCTGTCCCTTGAGCTGAGATTTGAAAAGCTGTCATGGCTTTACAGGTTGGAGTACAAGAGTCTGAAATATTGTCCGGTACTATGATCTGTAGTTGTCTCTGTGGATATTGCGTGAGAACTGATGAAAGCTATTAAGTTTTCATGCTAGAAGGAGGCATTACAGTAGAATGAAGATCATGAGATTCACATTGTACTTTTGTAATTGTGTGGCACAAGAAAACAGAGGGTTTTAGTTATTTATCCTTTATCTCTTGCTCGTGAGCTGTATTTCTTAAAATGAGACAGAAAACAATGTTTTTGTAACTTGAGAGCCTAATAAGAGGCTTTAAACCAGGATTATTTGAATCTCAATTCCCAAAACAAAGCAGATGTTTCCTCTTCTGTGTTAATCTAGCACTGATACTTATACAAACTCTGGGAGTAACATCTTTCCCTTTTACTGCAAAGGCTTTATTGCAAATCTTACAATTCAGCGTCAGTTTTTTCCAACTGAAGAAGATGAGACTGGAGCTGCGAAGGCTCTGATGCGCCTGCAGGACACATACAAACTGGATCCTGAAACTCTCTCTCGAGGAAACTTACCAGGTAAGCACACAAAGGTCTTCTCTGCTTCAAAAGGAGGGAAGTGGTAACATCTTTAAACTCTCTCCAAAAATACTTTTTCAATAGTGAGGAAGAACCATGGTGCTGAAAGTCCATGTGGCTTAGATGCTTGAGGACATACCTACTTCAGCACTTTGAGAACAACCTTGAGGTGGTTCCCACCCAAGCCAAAGCACCATGGTCTGCAGTGACCAGCTCAAGTAGCATTTTTTAAATTAGTATTACTTTAAAAGAAAATGCTGATTTTTGTAATTGCTATACCAAAACAACAAAGGATGACATACTTTCTTGTGCTGGTTACTGCGTAAGCAAATGCCATTAGTACTTCCTGTCCCCAATAACTTACGAACCGAGGGAAGGAGCTGCTCCATAATTCATTGCTCTGATGGCTCTTACAAAGCTTGGCTCTGTTCTTGTTTGCTGTGGTCTTCCAGTGAGGCTTTGGTTGAATCACTTTGCTCCCGTTCTTTCTGTGAAATGGGGACTAACAGTTTTTGCCACAGAGAGGTTTTGGAAAGTATATAGATTGGGATGCTTCAGTGTTTTGGCAGCTGAGTCCTGATAAATGTTTGTTGCTGCTGCTTATGAGAGACTTACTGAAACTGGTTGCAACACATTGTTTACAAACTGAATAGGCTTCTTTAGTGTGGCTAGATGAGTTGACAAAACAGTTTTAGTTATTATATGTAGGTTATTAACAATGAACTTAATTTTAAGTCTTATCTGTGCATCTGCTGAGCTGGAGCAACTGGAAATCAGTGCACGGTTACAGTCAAATGGATACCCAGTTTGTCTAAATAACAATCAGCTTGCTTATGCACAAATATACATCTCCAGTAAATAGCAAAGAACCTAGCTCTGCATATAGTCAGGCTTCTCTGATCATCTAACAGTGTTAACTTGTAGGTTCAGTAAAATCTTTTAAGCTGTTAGTGTGCTCTGCCTTTGCCTACAACAGAAAACACAATAGCTTAACACTGTAATTTCTATGTTAAACTTCTCTTGGTTTCCAAAGGAATTAATGCCACAGAATTATGATAGAACGTAATCTTTAATTCTGAAGGTGATCAATTTGGTACAGAACCTAAAATATTGTCAAAGCATTGTCTTTTAGAAGCCTTTTTGGATGATAAAAGCATGTATTTACAGATATTCCTCAATGTGCCCCATGTATTTGAAGGCAAAGGTGCATCTGTGTAGATTGCTTAAAGCTATCTTTTTGTTTTTAGGAACAAAATATAGATCCACTTTGACAGTAGGTGACTGCTTTGGTATGGGCAAGACTGCTTACAATGATGGAGACTACTATCACACAGTACTCTGGATGGAACAAGCCTTAAAACAACACGATGAGGGGGAGGATACAACAGTCAGCAAAGTGGAGATCCTAGATTATCTCAGCTATGCTGTTTTCCAGTTTGGGGATTTACACAGAGCCATGGAGCTTACCAGACGTCTGATATCCCTTGGTAAGAACAAAAAACCTGCTATTCTAGTGCTGGGGAGTGTTGTTGGCAACAGAGCCCAGAACAGTCATGGCCCATACATATTGGTGAGCTGACTGGAAGGATATCCTGCCAGATGACTTGTAATAAACATAGGTCCTGGAAGAAAAACCAGCTTACTTATACACGAAGTATCTTTAACAAGCTATCTTAGTCCATGCTGTTATTACCCAAAGACCCAATGTTTGTCTGATTGCAGTACCTGTGTGCTTTGCTTCAGTGTATTGAGATGTTGTGTTTGGTAATGGTTAAAGCCTGGATCAAGTGGAGGTCAAGGCTACCATGGACTTAGGCAGTGCTATATCTTCTGTAAAGTCCTACTGACTTCACATATTCCTTTCTATTCCTCAGTGCAGGTACTCTTTGATGCCAGAAGAATACTTTGCCTGAGATCTTAAAGTATTTATTTCTGAATATTCAGAACAGATTGAGTTTCTTAAAACCTCCTTTTATCTCTGGTCTGTTTCTAGCTTTCTCTTGAGTAAGCAAATAAGCATTGCTTCCTATCTAACTTTGCCTACTTCCTGCATTGGAAAGGTTTATCCTCCCCAATTAGTGTTAACATCTACTGTGTTATGTATTTGTATGTTTTTTTAATCTGCTGTGGTTCTTAGTTTAGATGTTAGCTGCATCCTGAGCGTGGGTGAAGCCTTTCTATTAAAAAATATGTATCAGTCTAATTTCTGCAGACATTGGAATTCATAAATTAAAATTTACAAGAATATGAATATGTGTTGAATCTAGCTCCCTCTGCAATAGGGTTTAGCACTGATAGCAGAATGCAAATCCTTATCAGCACCAAACAGTGGAACAGACTTGGCAGTCCCCTTTGGGAGCAGCAGCTTCCTCTGCTCTGGCCTCAACTTCCTTATCTGGCCACTATTAGCCTATGCTCTAATGAGTGGTTACATCAGTGGCCTTCTGGGTTAGTTCCATAAGATAAACACAATAAGCTTGGGAGAGCCAGAAGGGAAAGAAACTGTTCTAGGTGCTAGCGTCCAGAAACATTGGTGAAGAGGGAATTGTTCCTTCTTAGTTATGCTGGGTAAAGATCTATTGATGACGTTTATTGATTCATACCAACATCACTAATAAATCACTAATGATAGGTCCAATGATGCTAGTGATCCAGGATACCGCTCATATAAACCTGTTACAAACATCTAGAGATGGATGCTGTAGGTGGGCTGTTAGTGGTAACTCATACCTCTGAGCTTCCTGACTTTGGAGGAAGTCTTTGGGACTGAAGTCTGTGGCTGGGACTCCACCGCAGTCCTTGGTTAAAGCATGCTTGTGCAGTGCGGATGAGAAGCATGGTGGAGAGGAGTGGTGCAACAAGTAGACTAGCTTGATTCTTCTGATGAGCTCTATGATCTGCTTATCTTAGAACTGGGCAGAGAAGTTGAGAGAAAAGAAGGGATGTGAAGACCAAAAACTTCTACTCTTTTTTCTTCTTGGAGTACAAATTTTGTGACAACTCCTTCCGGAAAAGATTCTTTTGCAGACTATGCCTACCTTCCCTCTGCAAAGACACAAACTTCCCAGTGCTGGTTTTCAGTGCAGACTGGAGCCAATGCCTTCGGTTGCCTGATAATGCTCTAAGAAGGGGAGAGTTACTGCTGTCTCGATACGAAGACTTGTTTGTATTAATAGTTCCTGAGATTGCGTAAATCACTGGTTCTATCTGTTTTTCTCCCAATGAAGACAGTACTCATGAGAGAGCAGGCAGTAATCTGCGGTACTTTGAGAAGTTGCTGGAGAAGGAGAGAGGAGAGAAGGAGAAAGAGAAGTCAATAAACAAGACCATGACAACGACAGAACCAGCGGTGCAAAGTGGTGCCTATGAGAGGCCTCTTGACTACTTGCCGGAACGTGATATCTATGAGGCCCTTTGCAGAGGTGAAGGGGTAAAAATGGTAAGAGAAAGGCAAGAATTTCCTGACTGTGCTGCCTTTGCATAAGGGTGATCAAGCTTGGTGGGACATGTTAAGTTTTTCCTTCTGTGAAGCTATATTTTTAAATGTAGTTCTGTCCAGGCTGAGATTTGTGCCTTATGTCTTGGCCTCTCTATCTTTAGCTGTTAAGCCTAGACAGAAAAATAGCTCTTAACTGTACCTCTTTAAGGTTGTTGAAAATTGGTTCTCCTCAGTCTGTCTACTCAGCCATTTCAAATGCTGGCTGTACAGATATACTAGGAGGCTTTTTCCACTGAGAGCTGGTTATGCTTTGCCACACATAACAGAATCACATTATTCCTTCCTCTTTTGCATCTTAAAGACATGTCCTTCTGGGGTGACTATTTTGACCAACCAGTCTCCAGTACCTCTCAACAAACATGGCTTTAATTCTCAGTGCAGGAAAAGGAATCAATTTATTCCATCTGCATAGTCTTAATTATAAGAACCAGACTTTTTTTTACAGCTTGCTGCTTGTGTAGTTATTTGCTTAATCTGTAACCTATTATGATTTAGTTCTCCTAAAGGTTAGTGTTTCAGATGTTGCTCAGTGGTATCTGAGTGGCATATATTGTTTTTTATTTGCAGTAAATTGCAGAATCACTCATGCTTACCTCTTAAATTTGCTAGTCAGCTGATGGCTTTTATAGTGTTTGTGGAATGAAGCTCATTTTCTTTTTTGTCTTGCCTGTTTTAAGTTCATGAAAAGTGGTTGAGCAAATGATGTTTTATTTGGTGTTTTGTTTCAGACACCTCGAAGACAGAAAAGGATGTTTTGTAGATACCATGATGGAAACAGAAACCCTCATCTGCTCATAGCTCCCTTTAAGGAAGAAGATGAATGGGATAGCCCTCATATTGTACGATACTATGATGTCATGTCTGATGAAGAAATTGAGAAAATTAAACAACTGGCTAAGCCAAGGGTAAGTTTCCCCTCTTCCATCTCACTAATGACTGCTAATTCCGTGCTTTAATCTCTGTTAGCAAAGACTAGGTGAAGGATTTGAAAGGTCTGGTTTCATACTACAGATGATACACTGCAGCTGTGAGCCTAAAGGGAATGATTTCGAAACTGCCTGGTGATGTAGGACCGTAAAGCCCAGGCTCCTGAAGGTATTTATGCCTTGTTGCACTTAATTATGCGAAGTTCTCAGTAAATGGCTTAGAAACCTTTTAGGAAACTAGGGACTAGACCTGAAAAGGTAGATGACTGACTGGCTTACAGTGCTAGGAGTAGCTGTCCAATATACCTTAAGTCTGCCTTTTGAAATGGAGCCAAACTTCAAAACAAAATTTAAAAAGCCCAAATCCCAAGAGAAGTGGGAAGAAACAATGTTTGGTTTTTTTTTAAGTTGTGCTGGAAGAATATCTAGAGGTTTGGTTTTTTGCTTCGGGTAACCTGGAATCCACTGTTTCTGTTTTAAACCATAGTCTAGATTGGCACAGAGGCAGGCGCTTTAGATGCCGTGGTGCATCCATGAGTGGAACTGCAGTGTTCTCCTGAGGCCACACACAGCTCATTGGGAATAATGTGATACAGTTAACACAGGGTGGAGAAATCATTTGTGCTCTTAAGTAATTCCCAATCTGGGACTTGGGAAGGTTGGAATACTTGGAAGGATGAAGGCACAATGCAGTATCATTTTCCACCTAGATAACTGTCTGTTGGGCAGCAGAGAAACAGTTGTGACAGCTTCAGTGTGCTAGATGTAGATCCAACTCAAAGGCAGCAGCTTTGAGTGAGAGCCCTAGCTTTGATGCAATACCTGTAACCCGTGGTGTGAATTCTAGTGACTCTGCACACAATAAAAAAGCAGCTACCTAATGCAAAGCTAATAATTACCTTGTCTGATTTTTCTGGAGGTAGAATTTCCTGACTGTTTCCTTTTTGGCAAAAAAAAGTATGGCAGTGTGAGGTCAGCGGTAGATGCTACACCTTAGTTTTCTGTCAGGTCTGACAAGCATGTAAAACTAAACATTTCTGTTTTTATAAATGCATTCATTTTAGCACCCTTCTAGCTACTGCTATGAAATGTGGTACTAAAATTCCAGTCAAGAATTACCCTTCTGTATGTGTTTTTAAATGTAAACATAAACATCTAGTTAGAAACAGACTGAGAAACTGGTGCTTCCTAAGAACATTAATAACTTGGGATGTTTGTGAAGCTGAACTTCTATGACTACCAGTCAGCTATGGGAGTGTTGGCAGAACACTCCTGTCTCGATGAGGACTCTCACCTCCATAAATGGAGACTTTTTCTTATTACATCATACTATAAAACTTCAAGAGCTTCAGATAAAATGGAAACATTCAAATAGAGCATATCACTTAATCTATTTTCTCAAATTAAGCACATTCTAAATAAGGCAGCTATTAGTTTTTTTGTTCGGTTTTCCCATTTTGTTCAAAGCTGAACATAAGGTTCAAAGTTTTAGGGAAAGTCTTAAGTCTTGCTCACTGAGTTTTTCTTATGTTACTAATGTCAGAGGAATTCTTCATATAAGCTATGTAGTGTAGAACTGGGATCAGTCCCTGTAAGAGTAGGTAAATATTGTAGTCTTAAGATTCAGGTGAAAGTTTTAAATTAAAAAAAAAGCAACTATTTTCTTAAACTTATTTTTTCTAAATCTGTCTATAGCTCAGTTGCAGGAATAGCTTTAAATTCTGCGGTACTGCTGAAAGAATGGAAAATGCAAGTCCTGTGATGAGATGGTCCTTAATAAATATAGCTTAATTTCAGCCAGGAAATTTTAGTTTAGTAATCATGGAAGCTTTCAGACAGAACTCTGAAGTAGTATGTTAGTTTTGGGCTCAGAATGATGAGCACTTCCTTTGTTCTAAAATGCATTTGCAAGAAATTTCTACTTTTGGGTCCAAGCACTTTAATATTATCTGCAGTTTACACTTGCCAATATTTTCTTGTTTTGTAGG